GCTCTGGTAGCTGTACAGTATGGTACGTAGCTTGAATACTAGGTCATAGCTCTAGTAGCTGTACAGTATTGTACGTAGCTGGAATACTAGGTCATAGCTCTAGTAATTGTACAGTATTGTACGTAGCTGGAATACTAGGTCATAGCTCTGGTAGCTGTACAGTATTGTACATAGCTTGAATACTAGGTCATAGCTCTAGTAGCTGTACAGTATTGTACGTAGCTGGAATACTAGGTCATAGCTCTAGTAATTGTACAGTATTGTACGTAGCTGGAGTACTAGGTCATAGCTCTAGTTGCTGTACAGTATGGTACATAGCTGGAATACTAGGTCATAGCTCTAGTTGCTGTACAGTATGGTACATAGCTGGAATACTAGGTCATAGCTCTGGTAATTGTACAGTATTGTACGTAGCTGGAATACTAGGTCATAGCTCTAGTAATTGTACAGTATGGTACACAGCTTGAATACTAGGTCATAGCTCTAGTAGCTGTACAGTATGGTACGTAGCTGGAATACTAGGTCAAAGCTCCTATAGTCCAGTTTGCCCCTGATGAAGAAAATTCCACCTTTCGAAAGCACTCAGATTATGGGGTTTTGTATTTGTGTGTTAAATCATTAGTTGTACAGTGTAATCATTCACACAATTTTTAAATGAAATAAAGGAATTAAGATAAATTGTATTGTAATATCTTGTGTTTGTCAACTTTCAAAATGAAAATTTATTGCAATATTTAACCAACATTATTTGATGTAAAGTCATTGTGTTATTCATCATTATAGTTTAAATAAATCTCTATTGTAAATTAAGTGCAAATTAGTTTGTTCTCTTTTTTTATAATTTAGGCTTTTAAGTATAACATTGCTATTTGTTTCTTTTCATTATTAAGGAGTTAGAGATGCAGTTGCATTCACATGGAATTTCTGTCACTGAATCCATTTGGCAGCCTTCAACGGAAGCAGTTCTCAGCTCCATTATTAAGCAAGAAAGTGCCCCATCAAACATGCTTATTAACACTCCCAGTATGGCCAACAACTACACCTATCCTCATGAGAGAAACCATTTGACCACTGTGGATATGGGATTGTTAGGATTGAATGCTGAGCAAGATTCTCAAGTGAGCCCTGCCCCAAGTCCTAGTTCCGGACTAAGTTCTATTCAGAGTGCAAGTCCTGGTCACCCGTATGGTCCCTATGATGACATAATCATGGATGATGATGTACTTCCTGTGAATGGCGACCCTCTGCTGTCTTCTCACCATATGAAAGAAGATGAAGCTCTCTCTCCAGACCACATGGAGTTTCTTCAGTGACTAATGAGAAACCTGTCGACAGATGTTATCATTTCCTCATCGATAACTATGATAAAGATTGGGCTTCAGACTGAACTGTTGTTGTTTTCTGACCAGATGTTTCACCCACAGAAATGATTTACTGTTTTATACCTATTCCTGCATTGCCCAAGACCAGGATTGACAAAGTATTTTGTTTATTCAATGGAAAAGTAAAATCTTATATAATAACTAAAATGTGGTAACAGAGAAACCAATAATGTCTTTTCAAGTAAAGTGAAATTTGTGGTGTGCATTATCAATATTTTGATATAGATACAGAATTTTGTATTCCAGTATTGAATCATCTTGTTCTGTCTAAATGGACAGATTAGTGAAAATTATTAAGGTTTTTCATAAAAAGGTTAAATTTTTATTTTGCTTGTAGAGAAGTATGAGGAATTTGGGAAATAAGTGAACAGACAGAAGTCTAATATATATAATAACAGGCTCCAGGGAATGTGGTGACTGCGTTTTTATAACAAACTGAAAACTTGATCAAAACTAGCACATTGCCTTACTTTCTATCTTCAAGTTCCTGACTGATTTTATGGATGTTTTTCCAGAAGTTGTTGAATATTTTCTGGTATCAGAATGTTGTATTACCATTAGAGATTGTTAGGTATAGATATTTTCATTTTAATGTAACCTGTTTTTGAAGTATATAGAGTATGGTGTTAGACCAAGGTAGGCACACTTAGAATTTCCCACCTGCATCATACAGTGCTTGCCAAGTAACCATTTTCTTATAAGCAAGTGCCTAAAAATGTGTTTACTGGAAAGTTAGCTCTTCACTAATGTACTTTTTATTTTTCTATACATAAAAGTAATGGTTAGCCTAATGTGACTCCAGAGGCTTAGTAATCGTTTGTAATAAATGTAATGTGGTACCAATGGGAATACTATAAGGCTATTTGATAATATAAATGAATCAGAAAAGGTAGGTATTAGTTAATTATTTTGAATTATTACCAACCATTCAAGCTAGCCTTTGCCTGCATTTGTATAAAAACTTAAGACTTGTAAACAGGTTAAAACAATATCTTGCATTGAAATTACCATTTTTTGTTTCTTTGACATTCTTTTTTGAGCATGACAAGTTACACCCCTGGTGGGTATACCAGTTTAATTTGTTTATGTAAATGTAGCAAGTCCTAAGTACTCCCGACGACTGAGCTGCTGGATAAAATAAGTATCTGTAGAATGTTTTGTCATTTGTTTTCATTTATAAAGAAGAATTACATAATTTTGTGATAGTGTGACACTTCATTTTTATGCCAGATGTTTTGTGGTTTTTTTTTGTTTGTTTTTTTCCTAGATAAAAAAGTTAATGACTAGAAGGTAACAGTACCTTTGAAATACCAGAACTTTACATTTCTGTTGATCAGATTTTTAATTTGTAGCTTTAAAGGCAACACAAAGGTAATTCATTCATTGCAGTATTTAAAGAAGATATAAAATGCTTGAATATGTGTTTGGTAGTTAGGTTTATGGGCTGTCTTTGAGTGACAAGACACAAAATATTTCTGGTCATGTGAGATAATAAGTTGTGCATTGATGTTTTCTAAGTTTGTATGAAGATAATGGTCTGTTCAGGTTAAGCACAAATCCAAAACAAGAGAATCTTTTGACACATTTTAAAATTCACATTATTGTCTTAAACAGTTTGATAACTGTGCATGTTAAACATATTATGTGGAATAAAATAAGTTTACCTATTGCATTGTTATTATGAAAGTCCTGAAAATTTCATCTAAGTGATAGTTAATAGAGAAGATATTAAAATTACATCTTTAAAAAATGGAGATCCTCAAGAGGTTGATTCTGATAATGATTCATCTTTATTTAGCCTCATTGTTTCTGCTAGTGTGGTTAATTAAACATCTTAAGTGCCTTATGAAGTAATTTTACCTTTTCACCTTGTCTCAGCATCAGTGTAATATTTAGATGATTTCTTAATACAAAGAATTATTGAAGGATAAGAGTAGAACAGTACTGGTTACGGTGTTAACATCCGAGCTGTTGTATGACGTAACTTAAAGAGCTCATCGTTAATTTCATTGACAGTTCTCCTTCATTTTGACAAGATGTTACTTGTTCACAATTCTTACTGTGTTTTACTCTTTCTGAAATTATTCAGTGTGTGACCTGTTATGCCATGCACTAGTACACTGTTGTACCCCCGGGATATCCCATAAATTCATATATAGTACAGCCCGAGAAATGTCATTTTCCTGGGGCATTTGGGTAATCAACAAATCCTCAGTAATCAGGAATAAAATAATTAATAAAAATTAACAAAACAAAACAACTCCTGATGTCCTAGGGCATGGCATAATGTTTCTCATATATTTGTCCATAGCGATCTAAGAATATTAATACACCATTAAAGACTTGTAATTATCCAGGAATAAGATTTTTAAAGCCTGTTTTATTTGTGTTAATTTTTATAAGATCATTGCACAAGTTCTGTTGTTGATTGTGAAGAGAATTTTGAGATGTGCAGGTGTTACAGTACAAGTATGGTAGGGTTTGGTTGTTCACTTTAAAAATGCTGAAATATGTATGCTTTGTGCACATGTAACAATGCAAATTTTGTCACGGGCATGTACACGAGGCTTATTTCAACTTTCAAGTTCTATTAGCTTCTAAGTCTGTGTTTATAATATTCACATAAATTGTTCTTTGTAAGTTTTCGTGCCAGAATAGTATGTTAGACAAAGCTCAAATATTACAATTTCAAACATATTTTTGTATATCTACTATTTTATTGTAAAGTAGAATCTCCATAAACCTTTTTATTTTGGGTTGGGTTTGATTCTGTATTAGTTAATAAACTAATTCCAACTTATAAATATTTTTAATTGACATATTTTCTATAATGCACACCTTTACAACACGACATCCAAACCATATACTTTCATCTTAGAATACTTAGTTTACCCTTGGAGGATGGGGTTCAGTGTTGATATTCTGACTGACATAGTGAAAGCAATGAGGTCAGAAACTGTGCATTCCAAGGATTTATATTGTACTTGGAGCCATTGATGTTATGTTCTTCTGTTTGATTATGATAGTTATGTTTAAGCTATATATATATATATATATATATAATATCATGATGTTCATTCAAGTCATTGCTTTGTTATAGTCTTTTAGAATAGAGTATTTGTTCAAGTTAAAATACATCGTATGTTGAGAATTATTGTTTGTTATATTTCAGATAAATGTGTTTCATCCTTGTTAGAGTATTTGTTCAAGTTAAAATACCTAACAAGGATGAAACACATTTATCTGAAATATAACAAACAATAATTCTCAACATACGATGGTATTTGTTCAAGTTAAAATACATCGTATGTTGAGAATTATTGTTTGTTATATTTCAGATAAATGTGTGTCATCCATGTTAGAGTAATTGTTCAAGTTAAAATGCATCGCATGTTGAGAATTATTGTTTGTTATATTTCAGATTAGTGTGTTCCATCCTTGTTAGAGAGAGATTATCTTTTTTTTTGTCATTAAATAAAAAGTAAAGAGTGTTTATTAATATCTTTTTGCCTTTTGTAATTTTTTCATTCATATTTGAATGAAAACAAATTTACAGCAACAATAAAAGGAAAAGTGTGATGTTTCATAATTATAATTTTTGCTCTAGTTTCCTCTTCCAGTAATAAAAAGAACCATCACCCTCTTTATTCTTAAAGATAATACATATAGGAAGTTAGCACTCATCAGATGAAAACATGTTCATGAAGTTGATGCTGAAACAGCATTGTTTGTAAGCCTTTACAACCATAAATTGTGCAATTCTGTTGGTTATGTTGTATCCTTTGCACATTATCATGTAATAAAGGAGAGGAGAACTGGCAAGATCGGTGACCAAAGCTAGTATTCAAGTAGTATCTCAGTGAAATACTTGGAAGACGTATTAATACTAGAAATAAATGACCTTATAACACCAAAATTTAGTTGTGGTTTTTTTAATTAATTAGACATTCAACATTTCACTTTACAGCTTTTTTAGGAGTGTTCGCTAAAACACAAACCGAAACTGACAGTACAAAGTTTCAGTTTCGGTTTGTGTTTTGGTGAATGTTCCTGAAGAAGTTGTAAAGTGAAATGTTGAGTGTCTAATGAACTAAAAAAACAATATTTTGGTGTAATAACATTGTTTATTTCTAGTATTACTATAACATCATATAGGAGACATGTTTTTTATTTTGTTATAATTCTTAATTCAAAGAAATTTTTACATTTTTTATTATAACTAGCTGAAGGTATCCATCTTGGATAATGTTCCCCTTCTTTTGTTATTAAATCCATAATGACCTTATTCAATGCTAATTGTATATAGTGCTTTGTAGAAGGTAATAATTGACTCATCTAACTGATTAAGTACTTGTCTTTAAATTGAATGTCAAAAGGTCCATGAAAAATGGATTCGTTTCTCGATTTTGTGATTTCCAGTGTTTTGTTTGTTTATTTTCACCCCGGTGAAAAGTTTTAAGCAGTGGTGGAAAATTACGTTTGTCTTTTGTTTTTTCTAAGCAGTATAACATGACAGCAAAATAAGCTGATGGAATGCTGAAAAGAATGGGTTTATGTTCCAAGTTACCCCTTTAGTCGTTTCTCCATGCACTTTTATTTCTCAGCATCTGTTTATGAGAAAACAAAGTATGGGAATATTAAATTCAGAAAATCAAAATTATAATTTAAAAAAATCGATGTTGTGTATGAGCTTTTGTAGATGAATGAAGACAACAGAAACAAAATGGCAGACATTTACATTTTGTGTAGGGAGGGGATACTGTTGTGTTAAAAAAAAACATTTTATATATGCAAATAAGACAATTATACAAAAAATTCATTATAGCATCTCTGACCACTCTTAAGAGAGAGGTTCCATGTAGATTATAGTAATTTTGAATATTTGGACTTTTTTACAGTATTAATCTTGAAAACCTCCAAGAAATGGAATGTACTACTGGAAAGTAAAACGAATTCTGGAATTACCTTGCCATTTACCACAATGCCAAATCCATAGTTTTGAGTTTTTGAACATTTTTTAAAACAAAAACATCTTACGATACTTCGTGAGCTATCTAAATAATACAAGCTGGAGATAGGTTGACATGCAAGTCAAAAATCGTGTGCATAATGAACCAAAACTGTATAGTACTGTGGACATAAGGACTGTTTAAGAAGTTTTTTCGTGTATGTGGCTTTGTTTTAATCTTCTGTTCTCCCACCAGCCCTATAATTTTTAAGATCTCCACATATCCATATTTTAATTATAATAGCTCGTTGTATCTGTAAGTTGCTACAATTCACAAGTTTCTACTATATCTGCACCAAACATTTTTTAACAATATGTTGTACATCACGTACCTTTTAATATGACAGTGCTTTAAATATACCTCTCTAATGTCTCAACAGTAAGGCTGTGGGCTTATAATGCTAAAAATCAGGCTTCGATACCTGAGATGGGCAAAACATTTGTAACCCTTTGTGTAGCTTTGCGATTAACAACAATCAAACGCTTCTTTAGTATGACACTAGATTTCACATCTTTAAGTAAATTTTACCCTTCAGTACAAATTGTTTATTTTCTTTCAAGTGGTTTTTAAGCTTACATTCCAGAGCTACGAGTATGAAGTCAGAAGTTGCTAGCAGAACACGAAGAAAGTGTATATTGTTTTAGGTAGGTATAGTTTCTCATTAGTGAATGAACAAACCACATCACAGGAAGGATACATTTCAAACTATTGCTTGGACAAGAAGGATATTAATGGACGTCAAATTGATACCTGGTGTCAAAAACGGAACAGTTCGAAAGTTTTTTTTTTTACATACTTTGTTACGGATAATTTTCAATTGAAAACTAGGGGCTCTCCTGATTTAAAAGTATTGAGGAACCACACATGTAGAAAAGGAAAATATTTAATTTGGCAAGTATTAACCAACTCTGGGTAGCAGAATTAACAACAACAAAGAAGAATATACCACCTTTTTGGCTTCTGCATTTCAGACTCATGACTAGCCAAATCATTTGTCTTCAAGGAAACCAGGCAACAAAAATCAGAGAAGTAGAAACACTGTGGGCATCAAATGTTGCCAAAAAGAAATCTTCATATAACGATGTTCCTAAACTTTTTTCTAGCATGTTCAAGTGCTTCATTTCCAACTGTTTTTGGAATGAGGTCTATAAATTTGTTTGTAATTAAGCACAAAGCTACAAAATGGGCTATCTGTGCTCTTCCCACCACGGCTATAGAAAACCGGATTCTGGTGTTGTAAGTCCGCAGACATATTGCTGTGCCACTGGAGGGCTGAGGTCAATAAAGGTGGTGAACATGATCTCAAATTTCCTAGGATCTCTCCTGATAACAAAATTGGCAAACTACCTAAAGAAAAGTAATTAAGTTTAAACCATACTGTATGATGAAGCAAATTGCAATAAAGTTGAAAATTAATGAGATATGCTTATTAGGTATTGGTCAGAAACAGGATTCCGGAGATCTTGTGGCCTCTAATTTGATCATGTCAGAGAAACATCATGCATTTCCCGAAGGAAAAAAACAGCCAACCCTCTGAAGCTTTTTATAAGTATATCAAGTGATGGCTTAAATGTAAACATTTGGAAAAGTGATGTACCACAAGAAGATAATTGTGAAGGTTTTCTTCCATTCATCCTCTATAACCCTCATGTGTTACATTATGTATCCAGAGCTGGTCAAGATGTATACAGAACATGATGTGAAGACCTTGCCTACAATCTCTACAATTTTTTAATTGCCTTCCAAAATAGAAAATTTATCACAAATTTAACTAGACATTAACTTGAATTTAAGCCCCTTTTTAGACATGTAAATATTATATGACTGACCATTGTCCAGTACTTTAGCATATTATCGAGAAATGGAGTGTGACAAAGAAATATTTCCAAATAACATTCCAAGAAAAGACAAAGCAAATACTCTCACAAAAATAAATGTACTGGAACATATGCTTGGCAGTCAGAGATTATACCTTCCAAAGTGATTCTCTTCTTGTTTGTGTTTTGTGTAATAAGCTCACAAAACTTGTGTTAAGCATAATGAAAAGGTTCCTGAAACAAGATGTTATTAGTGAAAAAAGAGGAAAGCTCTAAATATTGTAGACAACAACAAGACAGAGTATTCAGTTTTCATCCAATGACGTGGAAATAGGAGAGCCAGCAAGAAGGACACTATCAAGACTGAATCCCAAATCAGTAGAAAATACCTGTGTTAGGCATGAAACAGTTCTTCATAACAAAGATTACAAAGTACTTGTTTTTTATGCATCTGTTAGACAGTGAAGTGTTATGCATCTCTAGATGGTAAATGCTCATAGACTTTGCATATCATCTGTATCCATTTCTCCAGAAGAAATGTAAGAACACGGGAATTATAACGTGTGTCAGATCAGTAGGTAGGACACATCACAGATAAATGGAAACTGTTTCCAATTGAAGACATTCCTATTTACACTAATGAAGATAAACAGGAAATATTGCGTGTTCATATTGATCAACACTGGAGGAGAATCTTTGCAATGTCTTAGCTTCTCCATGATGGAGTCCAAATATGAGGTTCAAGAGAAGGTAACCAAGTCTGTCAGATGGAAATGCATATGTTGAAAAAGTCACTATCAAACAATAAGAACACGTTTTTCAAAGATTGATCTAGCCTAGATTCCACAAACTACCAAAGGTACAGTATTGTGCAAAAGCGTTAGGACAAAGTCAAAAATTAGATTTCAGGCTACTTTCAAAGAACAATGGAAGGTAAATCACAGGTGAAACATTAAAATTTTATTAATGTTCATATTTAGTACAACGAAAACTGAGTGGAAGTTCTTGAGTTCAGCAAACAGTTAATATTTTGTGTGTGTCTCCCCTTTGCTTTAATAAGTGTAGACAGTTTTTTAGGCATTGTGGCAACCTATATAATCAAAGTGTCCTTTTGGATTTTACTCTAAACGTCTCTAATACACTCCCATAATGTATGTCTTTCTATCATCATTCTGCCAGCACTATTTTTTTTCTACCAATACTTCAAACATGGTCTTTGAAACATATATAAATTCCTCACAATATTCTGTTCATCCCATAACAATCCATAAGCCATAAGATGCCCCTTTTGGAGAAATAGAAAACACTTTCTTCAGATGAATATTTAAAGGCTCATCAGGAGCATGCTGAGACAATGCCACTTTTGGTCAAAGCTTTAGAAAGATACACCTACTATTGATAAGATCTGCTATATTATAGCTATCCTCTGATTTATAATTTGTCCATATACTTAAATATTCCATTTTGATGGTTACCCTCTTCCATGTTCAGTTGGGAAAACTTAACACAGTCTTTTTGTGCTTGAGAACATTAAAAACAAATAAAGTGCAACTGTTAGTTATTTACTAATAATTGATTATTTGCTATATTCATTTTGAAAATTTATTCCTAGCAAATTTTGAGTAGTATTTTAAACTTTCGTAATTAATTAACTCTATGTTAACAATTAAAATGAAAATCAATAATTGGACCTA